AGCTGTAAGTTTCAACAGCAAAAAACTCCTCCTGTTTAATGGATGAAAATTCTGCCTTCCAAGCTCCAGTCTGATTGTCACCATTTCTCCTGTCCAGCAACAGAGTCAGATCCATCAAGAATTCACCAGGAGAAAAGGTGGAATCCTGGGTAAGGTGAAGATGGTTTCTGCTCTTAGCTGCATACCTAAAGGAAAAAGGAAAGGCTAGAGGTATATTCCTTAATAATGCCAGTATCACTAGCTCCCTTTATTAAGAACTAATGAGTTACAGAATCCTATTGGCATTCCCAAATTAACTAGTATCTCGTAATTTTATACCGATAACCTATCAGATTATTGGTAAGGAAAACCACTTTTAACTAGGAGCTCTCTGTACCTCCATATGCCAGAAAAATGCTATTCGAATGATCTTCCCACTAGGATGATAAAGTGTAATACTCTGGCAACCATTAAACGGAAATCCATCAGAAAGACGTGTGCTAACGTAAGAAACATAATGCGAAAAACATAATACGAAAATATCATGTAAGTGCGATTTAACTCACAGAAGGCTTCACCCCGACACCCCTATAACCTTAAAAATCTACAGATCCTAAGTCCCCTTTAATGTGTTGCCTTTTGTGTGAACACATCATTTTTTTACTCCACTTTTCCACAAAAGGAGTGACTATTCATGGACAAGGTGCTTCAAAGATCCAAGCAATGGAAGATCCAAGGCCTGGACTCTGAGGTCAGGAGCTCTGAGAGTTAACTTGAACGCTGTGATCTGATTCTATATGTCTTCATAGAGAAAATGTTTTCTCTTACAAATTAGTCTCAAAACTCTGGCTGACATCTGATAAGACATTTATGTGCTGTGGCTTCTCTAGCAGACCCCTTTCAAATTTTTATGGATTCATCCTGAATCTCAGATGAATTTTGTATCCTAGAAAGAAAGCATGTGTTTTGACGCATCTGAAGAGCAAGGCTGATGAACGGATGGCCTAAGATGGTACGACAAGGGATTTGGCTTCATGCCTCCTCAATATAGTGATCAAGATCTAAATGGCTGGTGACCTGGAGGCCATGGAGAGCTCAGATGTCACAGAAGTTCCTGAAGTCTTGCAGGTGCTTGGGAATGTGGAGACACTGACCGTAGATTCTGAGCCAAAGAATAAAGAATATCCTTTTTGGGGGAGGTGACTTTTCAAGACGAAGCTAGGAATCTTAACATGCCTAATCGGCAAGGAATCAAGAACACTCTCATTATTGTGGAATCTAAGATAATCTTTGTGAAATTCAGTCTTCATAACTGGACACATCTGCACACAGAAATTAAGAATAAGCCCCCAAACCAAACCAAAACCCCTTGCCATCAAGTCGATTCCAACTCATAATGAACCTACAGGACAGTGTAGAACTGCCCCACAGGCTTTCCAAGGAATGGTTGGTGGATTCAAACTACTGACCTTTTGGTTAGCAGCCAAACGCTTACCCACTGTGCCACCAGGGCTTAAGCT